ACCCGGAGTATCCCTGGCCCTGGGTGTCCCCCAAAAGCCACCCTGGTCCCCCTGCTCCAGCCAGGGCTGCACCCCTAGCCTGGTGTCTCCCCCCCGGCATGGCCAGGGTGACACAGTGCTGGAGAAACGATGCTGCGCACCCACCAGCATCCTTCCTGTCCGGACCTATGGGGTGTGACATTGGGAGCCACACAGCCCCAGGTCCACCAGTGCTGTCCCAAGCGATGCCACCCATCCCCAAGCCCATGAGAGGATGGGGCCATCCCCACGTAATCCACGTCCCAGTGAAGGGCCACTGGGACAGCCCAGATTCTGAGTATCCCATTTTGGGGCTTGCAGCCCGGCACCGCCACAAGGATGCTGGCAGCAGACAAGGGTGTGCTAGAAAATCCTCGTTTTATTTTCATTTAAAAGCCATACCGAGCCTGGAGCAAGCAGCAAGCTCTTCTCCAGGCACACAGATTTGGCCCCATCATCACTTGTAGTTCCCAAAAAATAGGAAAGAAAACCAAAATAAATCGCACAGGTATCACCTGCTGCCCCAGCATGCTCCCGGATCAGGATGCGGGATAAATCCTGTGGCACTTGGCTCCGCGTCGTGACGAGGTTAACACAAACCAGGGCACAGACACGTTGCAATCCGGAACATTCACCGGTGCCAGCCACTGGCTGCTTTTGGGATGTCTTAACAAGGCGAGCGGGACTAACAAAGCCCTTGTCCGGCACCATTCCCAAGTGCAGTCCCCAGTGAAGATGCCTGGTCTGGGGGGACCCTAAAGTGCTTTGCAGGCTTTACACACACACACACACACACACACAGACGCACCCCAAGATGTCCTGGTGCTCCAGGAGAGAAGGGCTGGGGGCTGGTACAGAGCCCAGCGGAGCTGGGGGCGGTCTGGATTGTACCCCCACCCTTGGGTGCTGGGATAAATGACGCCCCACAGGGCTGGTGGCCCCTTTCTCCCCATCTCTGCAGACCCCTGGGCTTGGGGTGATTCCTCCGGCTGTGGCCCCAGGGGTAGCGAGAGGGGGACGAACAGGTGGGTTCAGCCCAGAGCCGCTGCCTGGACTTCACCCAGAGCAGCAGCAACAACTCACCCACATTTTTCAGGGTTCCCAATGAGCCCAAGGTCATCTTTTAACAAGAAAAACCCAACTCTGGAATAAAAACTGGCCCCCTTTTTAGCAGCAAGTCCTAAGGGGAGGTCCAACCACTTGGCAGCCCCGAGCCATCGTCCAGTGCTACAGCGCAGCAGCATCCCACAGAGAAAATGGAATTCCAGTGGGACAGGGAGTTGGCACCGGTGGCTCTGAGCCGGCCAGGCGGTCCCGCTGGGAGCAGGTGCCAGTAGGAAGAGAGAAGATACTTGGTCCCGTTTTACCGGCCGAGGGAAAACTGGGCCACGTGCAACAGCCACAGCTGGGAAGATAGCACCAGGATCTGTATGCAGGGTGCCACTGTCTCAGCATCCGTCCTCAGCCAGCGCTGGGGGTAACGGTCACCTGCGGAGAGCAGGGTAAGAGGGGGTGAGTGGCCACGGAGGCACCATACCCCAGCCCGGCACCCAGGCCCCATGGGCATGAGGAGGGAGACCCCCTGATGTCCCCAACCCAAGGGAACCCAGTCCTGTCCATCCCTTGCTGATGCCTGTGGTCGCGTTAGCCGCAGGGGACAGCCCAGCTCCACCGAGATGCCCTGCTGCTTCCTACAACCAGGGAACCAGCCCCAAACCCGCATAGAAACCTTTTCCCAAGGGCTGAAAGTCTCGGGGACAGCAGAGCTTTGCCCGGTCGCTCAAACCAGCATTTGATAGGATCACCTACTCCATGGGGATGGCATTTTGGGTCTGCCATCGACCATCCCAACAGCAGGCACAGGATAAGGGACAAAGCATCCCTGGGATATGTCACAGAGCGGAGCCGTCACTC